AATGTTATTTATTACTAAACTAATGGCAGGAACCCTGCACAAAGGGATATTCCCTATGATACATGGCATCTCACATAAAAACAGAGCATTCTTCCTTACCCTAAAGCCTGCCCTCTCTCCCCAATCCCTCATGCATCAGGCCACCTTTGTGCCCACAGATCATGGGCAGCGCTGTGTGGTCATCATCATTCACACAGAGAGGGCAGTCAGCAGTGTGAGGTGCTTCTGTCTGCTGCGGTCTCACCCCAGGCATGGAAAGCAAGAGCCCTGGGTGTGGCCGAAGGTGCTCCGCTGGGTTTCTCAGGAGTCCCATCTGTCAGTGAATTGACAAGAAACAGAGCAAAACGACTGCTCCAATGTTGATGAGCCTGCCCCTGGGATTTGGAAACTTGCTAACAGAGAAAACCAATATAGACAAAAGATTTTAATCAGGATTATGGTCAATTAAGCAAATTGGAAAGGGATACTTGAAGGTGTATTTGGGACACAGGAATCAAAAACACCAGAAAGACATGAAGAGTTTCCCTAAGACTCTAGACTACAGCACTATGTAGATAACTAACACCCAGACTATTGAATTATATTATTGAGGAAATAAAATTGACATTGAATTACAAACTGTTCACAAAAGGTCATGAAAATCTTGTAGACTTGTTTCAATTCTGACAAATGTGTCATTCTCAGCTGTTCACTGGTGCATTTATCTTGAATTTGACCATCTGGGAAATGGGCGTGGCCTCTCCTGACAGGAAGGCTCTGGGGCCCAGGCAGGGAGAATGAGGTCTCAGAATGATTCCCTTGAGAGTCCTGTTGCCCTTTCATCAATGCACAGAACCAGAAGACCCCTCCGTCCTGTAGCACCTGCCATGAGCATTGAGCTCCTGTGCTGTGCGGCCTTTTCTCTCCTGTGGGCAGGAGGGTCCTGGGAAGGGACCCTTGTGTGGATTTCAAGGCCCAGCCCCTTTCCATTGGGGCTGCAGCATCAGCTTTGTTCTTCTCTGCAGGTCCAGTGAATGCTGGTGTGTGTCACTCAGACCCCAAAATTCCAGCTCCTGAAGACAGGACAGAGCATGACACTGCAGTGTGCCCAGGATATGAACCATGACTACATGTCTTGATATTGACAAGACCCAGGCACGGGGCTGAGGCTGATTTATTACTCAGTTGCTGCTGGTACTACTTACAACGGAGAAGTCCCCAATGGCTACAATGTCTTTACATTAAACACAAAGGATTTCCCACTCAGGCTGGAGTTGGCTGTTCCCTCCCAGACATCTGTGTACTTCTATGCCAGCAGTTACTCCACAAGGTGACAAGACCGTCTCCTCTCTGCACATAAAGGCAGGGAGGCTCTACCCTCATCCCCTACCCAGGACTCAGGGATGAAATGGGCAGAGATTTCTGCAACGGGAGCCTTGGAACCCCAAGTGGCCCGGACAGTATGAGTATAGCTCTTGTGCCAGGTGCCTCTGCAGGCAGTCTCAGCCAGGCCTGGACTGGTCCCAGGTTCTCAGATGTCTCCTTTGTTACTCTCTCTGGTCTGTCCTCCAAACTCTACTTTTGAGGTAGGGCCAGGGCTTCCCCAGCTCCTACTTTTCTACTCATGATCCTGAGTCTGAGGTCCCCAGGATGAAACTGGATTTGTATTTCAGATCCATCTAGACTCTCATCTCTCCCTGGTGAGCGTGTTGCTTTCTCTCTCTAGGGTTTCCTCCAGCCCCCACCCTCCTGTGGCCCACCTTTCCCATCTCTGCAGTCATCCTCCATCCCCCACCTCCCCACCCCTCTCTACTGCAGCCATGAGGGGAACCCCTCTTCTGTGACTCCTTCTTTCCCATCACAGAGACTTCAACGACCGTTTCCTCTGCCCTGGGCTGGAGCCTTCCTTTGTCTAGTGGCCAGTTCCTACCTGTGCTTCAGATCTCAGCAAGATCAGCCCTCCTGCGGGAAGCACTCCCTCCCCTCCCAGCTGAGATCAACTTTCCTCTCCTAAGCTCTCATAGAATCATGTCTGTTAGTAACCTTTGGCACAGCTGGGCTTTCTCAGATACTTGTCTGATTATTTTTGTGCTTCCCCTAATTTTTTTTTTTTTTGGAGACAGAATGTTGCTCTTTCGTCAGGCTGAAGTGCAGTGGTGTGATCTCTGCCCATTGCAACCTCTGACTCTCTGATTCAAGCAATTCTCCTGCCTCAGCCTCCAGAGTAGCTGGGATTACAGGCATGCGCCACCACGCCCAGCTAATTCTTGTTTGTATTTTCAGTAGAGACGGGGTTTCACCATCTTGGCCAGGATGGTCTCGATCTCCTGACATCATGATCCACCTGCCTCGGTCTCTCAAAGTGCTGGAATTACAGGCATGAGCCACCGCTCCTGGCCTCTCCACTCAATTTTTAAGCCCGTGAGAGCTAAGGCTGTGCCTGCTGCATTTACCAACAATGGTGCCTGGCATGTGGGGAGACCCATTTCACAGAGAACAGGCTGAGTGAGTGATGAGTGAGTGGATGATCCAATAGTAGGAACACACTACATCTACTGTAACCTGGCAGAGATCTAGCATTAAGTGCAAGAAAGCCCATCCCTTTGATTGCTGGGCTTAGGTCGGTCTTGGAAATTGATGGGGAATCACTATCCTGGCATCCACACCTGGCTCAAGGCTTCCTTTTGTGGCTGCAGCACCTGACCTCCTCCAGGTCTCTGTGCTCTCCTTCAGGGTCTTTTCCCACAACAAATCTAGACAGATCAGAGAGCCACTTCTAGAATTCCATCCTTAAAGGTTGTTCCTTGAAACCACATCCGGTAAGAAAATCTCCATTAGGTTTGCATCAATAAAATAGGGACAGTATAAGTTTGAGAGTGTAATGGATTTAAGATCAGAATTACACTTTATGCACATGTGGGAGGAGCTGAGGAAGACAAGGTCTTGAGGAGAGAAGTCAGGACGTGAAGGAGCCAGTCAGTAACCAGGGCTTCTGGAGGTCTGGGCAGGACAGGCTGGAGTGGCAGGGACATGAGAGGATCAGAGCATGTGAGGCCATGCAATGGAACCTTGAGCCGGGAGCACAGGAAAAGTCCAAGGAAATCTGCTTCTGGGGAAGCTGTTCCCTCTGTATGGTGGCCGTGCCTGCAGGTGCACCGCCAAACACTGGGGGCAGCCTGGCTGCTATTGGCCAGCATTTGGGAAGATGAACTGGACACAGGTTGCAGAAGGAACAGGACCTCCTAGGTCTGTTGGATGCCTCTGTGTCTGCTGGTCACTGACTCTCACTGTCTGACCACGATGACCTGCCAATTGTTATAGTGACGGCTTTATATCTGTCTTTTAAATTTTATAAAATGTATCCTTGACCATCTCTAACCCAGAGTGATGAGAGAAATGGCATTCTGGGAAAGTCAGAGTCTTACCTTTGCAAAGTTGACTTAACACAATCCAGCACAGGAGGGATTCTCCCAGATTAAGGCATCTGATCACACAACTGTCTCAACCTGCCACGGTCCGTGAACTCCTCTCCTGGGGACACCTGTGCTGCCCTGGTGAATGTGGACATAATTTGTATGTAGATGTTCCAGACGCTGGCTACTACCTTTTCTTCTAATTCTGTGCCTGAAATCTCACTCCACCCAGAGGCAGGGCTCTGCCTCCTGTTTCTGTCTCCTTCCTGAGCTTCCATCCTGATGGAGTTGCAGGGACATCAAACTCCTGGACAGAGTGCAGTGACCTGTGGAGACAGTGGGAGGGAATCTCATCTCTTGCTGCCTTCCTGGATCCAGTTCTTTTATAAGCAAAGCAAGCGCTCTGGTCTCCCTTTGAGCTCTGCAGTATGAGAAATGTGCTTCATGAATTTGTAGCTGATCAGCTCAATGATCTGATGGCAAACCCGAAGTGAAATCCTCAGATCTGCAGAAATTGCCCTGCATTTCTGTGAAGATGGCAAGAATACTGTGTGGTAGAGATGCCTTCTCTCCATGTAGAGACCTGGCGCCCAAACAGGACAGAGCAGAAAGGGCCAAAGAGCCCAAAACATGTCTCAAATTGTTGAAAGACAACTTCCCAGGACAATTCTACTGACAACTTTGGGTCCCTCATATTACACGCCTGACCACTCTTCCTCCCAGATCAGCTGAGTACCCAGGATATCACACATCCCAGCATCTTCCACCAGGGAAAAGTACTTTGTATACCAGCCTCCTTCCAGCACCACACTGACTAACCCCAGAAACAGACTTTCCAGAAAAAAGCTCTGTCTTCTCTTGGTCCAGTCTAGCCTGGTAGGTTTAATTCATGATTTGTGTGACCTTTTAACTTACTCACAGGAGAACATATGATTTCAGAGTAAAGAATGTTCATTTTATTTGTATAAATTGGACCTAAACAGTAAACTGAGTACTTTTCTTTCATCAGTGTCTTAAATTGGACAGTGGTAAAACAAATCTTAGATGCTAGAACTTTAGGTCCTGGTGTTTTTCATATGGAAGTTCCCAGTTACCCAGTCTAGGGCATGGAATGGATGAGCATTAGTAAGTCACTCTATGCCTAAGATGGTTTTCTATGGGTGTCTGTTCTGAGTTACAGTTAAGAAGGGTGTGAAATGATCCCAAAAGAAAGGCATGAGGGCAGTTCATGAGGAAACCCATGTGATGGGACAGTTCCATTGGGCACATGTGACTGGGTGAATGGAGGAGGCTGGGGCATGAATGGGATGGCACAGAGTACCCTGACTTGCAGGAAAGACCATGAGCTCACCCCTTTGTGCCCTATGTCAGGGGCACTGTTGGTGCATCCTACAGGACATGCCCAGCAGACAGAGGAGTGGCTGTAGGATGAGAAGATGAACTCAGAGATGCAGCGTGAGGCCTCCGGGTCCAGACAGCTCTGGAGCCCAGGGCGATGCGCCATGCATTGATGTTGTTAAAACGGTGGTTAAAAATATTTAAAGCATCACCCAAGTGTGTTCTAATATAAATACTGTGACCCTGATGTCCTAGGGAATGAGAGAGGAAGTGATGTCACTGTGGGAACTGCCCTGTGGGGACAAGGACGTCCGTCATCCTCTGCTCCTGCTCACAGTGACACTGATCTGGTAACGCCCCCGTCCTAGCCTGACCCTGCCATGGGCACCAGGCTCCTCTGCTGGGTGGTCCTGGGTTTCCTAGGGACAGGTGAGTCCTCAGAACACCAAGTAGTTTCATTTTTTTTCTGTATGTAGACGTGTGTGTGTGTGTGTGTGTGATGACTACAAATGTTTTCCTTATTCTGTTGCCAAATTATGTTTCCACAGATCACACAGGTGCTGGAGTCTCCCAGTCCCCAAGGTACAAAGTCACAAAGAGGGGACAGGATGTAGCTCTCAGGTGTGATCCAATTTCGGGTCATGATTACCTTTACTGGTACCAACAGGCCCTGGGGCAGGGCCCAGAGCTTCTGACTTACTTCAATTACAAAGCTCAACCAGACAAATCAGGGCTGCCCAATGATCGCTTCTCTGCAGAGAGGCCTGAGGGATCCATCTCCACTCTGAAGATCCAGGGAACAGAGCAACGAGACTCGGCCGTGTATCTCTGGGCCAGCAGCTTAGCCACAGCGTGGCACGGTCGCCTCCTTCCTGTTTACAAACCTCATCCTTCTTTCTCTTTGCAGCTCCAAGAGCCCCTTACTTTTTGTCTCTCTTTGCTCCTCACTTTTCATGGGAAAGAGGTGGATTTGGACTTCGGCTGTCCTTTGGGTAGAAACAGACCACAGATTCATTCCTGAAACACAGTGACTGCAAATGTAGGTGGTGAAAACAATCACGGCCCACTGCACTCTAGGAGTCCTCTGAACCAGCTCACTTCTTCAAGCAAGGAGTGGGTGTCTCAGCCTAGGCCTTCAGGGCAGACATGCATCTTCTATACGTTTTGGAGGCTGTGGTGCTGCCCACACCCATGAGGTTGTCAAGGGAGGGAAACATGCCTCTTCTCCTGCATATGTTGGGGCATCTGGAAAGTCTGAGGCTACATACCCAGGAACGTCTTTCTTTCGAAGCTCTTCTATGCCTGTCACCATGGAAGTTTTCTGCAACAAAATATTGAACCTCTCTTCCTGTTTGAAGTAAAGGTCTTTGCAACTTTTATGGTCCTTACTTGATAAATACAATCATGATAACAACAAGACTTCATTTATTTGCCTACTTTAAGTCACGTATATCCTTTATTTTATTTCCATTTGCCATTGCTGATGTCCTGATAGACAGAAGTATGCCTTCACCACTGCTGCCAGTTCACCTTGATTCCCTCAGGAAATCTGATTTTTAGACTCTGAGTGTTTTCATTGTTGTCCAACTCATTTGATTTGAAATAATTTTCCTGAGGCCTTTAATTCAAGAAGTGTTTTATTTATAATATTGAATTTATTCCTTTTTATTTTATTTTTCATAATATATAGTGTTATATAGTATATAGATCTGGGATTCTACAAGTTTGTAAGTCGTACTGAAAACATCACCTTGGCTGAGATTCCACTGGACACCAAGTACGTGTTCTCTGGAGGGCAAAAAAATAATGATAAAAATTTCTAAAATACCTAAATAAACAGACTACTGAAGGAAAATGTTAGGAGATGCACCAAACTGTGCCGTTAGACCTGAAGATAATCTACCAGTAGAATTATCGAAAAGAGACTATAAATAAGTCTCCAGTAAGTATTTGTGGGCATAGAGCAGTGTCTGAGTCTTCTCAGGCTAGATAAGGAAGGAATTCAGTTATTATCATGACTTTGCCTTGGATGAAAATGCATGAACTCCTCACTTTATTTTCTTGTAAAATATTACAGAATAATATTGAGCAAACATTTCATTTTTCTCCAACTGTATCCCTCTTTAGCACTTACAGGTAAAGCGGACACCTAGAGGCACGATTTCTGTAGTTGGGATCCCTTAACTTCAGGACTAAGGTCCATAGCTGGGCTTTACAGGGACTGCAAACCCCACGTGCAGGGAACCCCGTGTGTCTGTGCTGTGCCCAACTCCCCTCTGTGAGGCTGCCAAAGGGGGAGTGCTGGATCTCCCAGAACCCAACTCACAAAGAGGGTAGCAGTCTGCTTGCTGGGCAAAAAAATAAATTCACCTATTGGCCAATATGTGGAAAGTCAAAAACAAAGGAAATGCTCTATGGTGAGACTGGCAGATGCCCAATTTCCCAAGTTATGAAATGTATAACAGCTCATGGTTCTCAGAATTTCAACAGCTCATTAAGATATTTTTAGAAAGTTTTTGTTTGTCTACAGCTGTCCTTGATATTGATCCTCACTTGTTTTCCAGCCCACTGGTCACTTGAGGTTATTTTGTTGCCAAATTTCAATGTTGCCTATTTCAGTCACTGAGCACTTCTCACATTCTCCGTATCTTACACAGATAGGTGTGTTCCTGTCTTTTCGTATTTTTAAATTGGGCTGTGCAGAATACAAGCATACATTTGTATATGACTCCCACCTTTTATGCAATTTAGCTGTTTAATTTTTAGTAATTTTTTTTATTAAGGTTTAATTAATAGAGAGTAAAACAAATATTAATTAATAGAGAGTAAAACAAATATTAATACAAGGACATCCTGGTACATTTTGACAAATGCGTATGCCAGTGCAATAATAACTGAAATTATTATAAAAAAATTTCCTGGCCCGGCGTGGTGGCTCATGCCTGTAATCCCAGCACTTTGGGAGGCTGAGGCTGACGGATCATGAGGTCAGGAGATCGAGACCATCCTGGCTAACAGGGTGAAGCCTGTCTCTACTAAAAATACAAAAGTTAGCCAGGCGCAGTGGTGGGTGCCTGTAATCCCAGCTACTCAGGAGGCTGAGGCAGGAGAGTCACTTGAACCTGGGAGGTAGAGGGTGCAGTGAACCAAGATTGCACCACTGCACTTCAGCCTGGGAGACAGAGCAAGACTCTATCTCAAAAAAAAAAACAAAAAAACAAAACAAAACAAAACAAAAACCTTTGGCCGGGCGCGGTGGCTCAAGCCTGTAATCCCAGCACTTTGGGAGGCCGAGACAGGCGGATCATAAGGTCAGGAGATCGAGACCATCCTGGCTAACACGGTGAAACCCTGTCTCTACTAAAAAATACAAAAAAAACACTAGCCTGGCGAGGTGGCGGGCGCCTGTAGTCCCAGCTACTTGGGAGGCTGAGGCAGGAGAATGGCGTGAACCCGGGAGGCGGAGCTTGCAGTGAGCTGAGATCCGGCCACTGCACTCCAGCCTGGGTGACAGAGCGAGACTCCATCTCAAAAAATAAAAATAAAAAAATAAAAAAATAAAAAAATTTCCATCACTCAAGAAAGCATCCTCATGCTCATTTCCAATTAATTTCTATCCCAGAGATAAAAACTTTTCTATTTTTATCACCATTGACTAGCTTCGTCTCTTCTTGAGCTTCATATAATGGAATCATATTTTTATTGAGTTATTTTTCTCCAAAATTAGTACTTCTGAAGTGTATTCATATTGTTGTATCAGTAGGTCATTCTCTCTTATGACTAATATTCCATGGCATAAATATACCACAGCTTGTTGATCCATGCTCCTGCTGATGGAGATCCACGTTACTCCTGTCTTCAACCTTTATGAATAAAGTTGTTGTGAACATTCTTGTGGAATTCTTTCTTGTGGACATACGCATTCTTCTTTTTTTTCTTTTTTCAGATATAGACTTAAGAGTGGAAATACAGACTCACGGTGTAGATGTGTGTGCTATGCTTGCGTGTCCCCACAAAAGCTCACGTTAAAATTTGCCAATGTAATGGTATTGGGAGGTGGGACAGCTACAATTAGTTCATGAGGGATCTGCCCTCAGAAAGAGATCAATGCCCTTATTGTGGGAGTGAATTAGCTGTCTTGGGAATGGTCTTCTGATAAAAAGGATGAATTCAGCCATTTTCTCTGTTTCGGATGCTTGCTTCCCCTTCCTCCTGCCTTGGATAATAGCAGGAGGCCCTCATCAGTTATGGACCCTTGATCTTGGACTTTGCAGTCTCCATATCTATAGGTCAAATAAACCTCTTGTTTTTATAAATTACCCAGTCTGTGGTATTTCTTTATAGCATAGGAAAGAAATTGAAAGAAAATATGGTACCAAGAGTGAAGCTGTTGCTATAATATCTGAAAATGTGGAAGCAGCTGTAGTTAATCGGAAGTGGCTAATGGATAGAGGTTGAAAGAATTGGGAGGAGCAGACTAGTAAAAGCCTAGATTGCTGAAAACAGAGAATTAAGGGCAGTTCTGGTGAGGGCTCATGGTGAAATGAGAAAGAAGGTATCAGAAATTGAAGTAAATGCCATCCTTATTGTAAGTACCAAAATCTTTGGCAAAATTGTGTCCTGTTCTAGGACTTCATGGAACATAAAAAGTATGAGTCATTCGCTAGGATATCTGCTGAAAGAAATATCTAAGGGGCTAAGCATTCAGACTACTGTGTGAATACTTTCAGTCACCAGGAAATTTAACCCAGAAAGAAGGGAGCCAAGGGAATAGATTTTGCAAGCCAGCACAGATGGTGACCCTACCTCCCTCTGCTGTCCTGTCTCCTATAAGCCAAACTCTGTACTGTGAGCTGTTAAAGCACTAGAATTTTTTTCTGGGGAATCTGTACTATTAATAATTTACAGACAACCCAGGTCTGCTTTGGATCTGATCAGACTGACTAAGTCTTGGGAACTCTGCACCACCGGTCACTGAGGAAAGGGGCTGGGAATGTTGCCTGGGACAAGAAAATATAGTTAGAAACATTGGAGTGAATCTAGCATCAGAAAGATGATGTGAGGACCGCAAGGAACAGCTGGAACCTGAGGTTTAATCACAGGCTCCTCACCCTCTGCTGATGAGCAGGTGTGTGAGCTCCAGCATGGAGCACTGCAGCACTAGGTCAGAGGAGGGTGATAGGGCGATGGGGCAGCCTGTGAGCAGAGGAGCAACTGTATCATTACAGAAGCTTCTGCCTTCACCCATCCCTCCAGCTCTGCAGGACAGGTAGAATCCAGGGTCCGTGGAGCACCAGACCTAAGGAAGCCTGCATGGGGAGGACACAGGACAGTGACATCACAGGATACCCCTCCCATCAGGAAAATCAAGGACCGGAACTCACTCAACTCTATCCCAGGAGAACCAAGCCCTGCGTCAGGTGCAGTGCTGCCTGCCCTACTGTGCCATGGGCCCCGGGCTCCTCTGCTGGGCGCTGCTTTGTCTCCTGGGAGCAGGTGAGTCCTGTGCACTGGACAGCAGCCCCATTCTCAGCTTTCCCACCCCTGTGTCCTCCACTTTACCTTGGGGAGGGCCTCCAGGCTGTCTCCTGGCTCATCCTACATCTCCTTTTCCCACAGGCGCAGTGGACGCTGGAGTCACCCAAAGTCCCACACACCTGATCAAAACGAGAGGACAGCAAGTGACTTTGAGATGCTCTCCTATCTCTGGGCACAGCAGTGTGTCCTGGTACCAACAGGCCCTGGGTCAGGGGCCCCAGCTTATCTCTGAGTATGATAGGAAGGAAGAGAGAGAGAGGCAACTTCCCTGACCGATTCTCAGGTCGCCAGTTCCCTAACTATAGCTCTGAGCTGAATGTGAACGCCTCGGAGATGGGGGACTCGGCCCTGTATCTCTGTGCCAGCAGCTTGGCACAGCCTGGCAGAGTCACTGACATTCTGTATGTAAACTTCCTGCCTTAGCTTTGATTTGAGAGCTGCAGGCCCCACCCAGCTTTCACTCCTTCAAGGGAAGCTTTTAGTTGTTTGGAAGCCATGTCTACTGTCCTACTGAGTGCAGAGTTCTCCCAACCCACAGAGCCCAGGTTTCCTGTGCCCTGAGAGTGCCCACTTCTCTGCTGCATCTTCTTGCAGCTTATCACTTCCTGGGTAGCTTCAGAACAAGAGTGACCAATGAGCCCTAGATGTGCGATTGATTCTTTGTATTTGTTATATAGCTTAAATCCTTTCAACAATCTTGCATATCAAACATTCTTATTTTTCCTTTACGGATGGAAGGCTAAGGGACACTGAGTCATTTTCCCGTGTCTCCTGGCTTGTAAGGATCAGAAGCAGGAAACAAACTAGTCCAT